GTAAACCGCACATTCTGAAATGCGTAAACCCCTTTTTATTGTGTCCCACTAATAAACAAAATGATCTTCAACTGTCATCGCATAATCCTCAGATGTTAATGCAATTAACATATAATTACTGCATAAATATGAATATGAATAACAACCGCTTTGTGCGTGTTATATATGTATTTCTATATAATTAATAATTCCAGTATTACGTATACCATATGTTGCATAACCATAATATTGCATTCGTTCTCAATCATATTGCATAGCTTCCTATGTACAAGTGATATCTTTATTGTCGTGTGACAACATTGCCAATTACGTGACAACACTGTGAAGATTCGTCAGACGAGTTGCACAGTTGCGTGCACTTATAATTGGTACACCCGTTTTCGGTTGGTGTTTTTTTACAGTCTTGGACAACAACTTGAATGGATTTGAGCAAACTTCAATATAAACACTAGTTCACCATGTATGGAATTCCACTTATGTTTTTGAACGTTGTTTCAGTATCTGTCTTTAGATATAAAATTGAAATAACTTAATGCACCAACAAAGGTGATGGTTATTAAAACATAACAAAACTAGTTTTTTTTTAATAATGGCTAAAAGGTTTAAGGGCGGTTAGATCACGGTTTCAGGAGAAAAGAAGGGTTTGTTGTTACAGTCACGTGTGCATCCGGGGGAGCAGTTTCATCGATCATGACCAGGTTGGGCACAAAGAGGGCATTGGGCTGGCAGTGTATGGCAGGGTGGCCTAGACGCCAGCAATTCTGACACTGATGGGGGGGGGGGGTTGATATGGTCGAACAGGGATGCAGTCTTCGCCAATATAAAAATGAAGGGGGAGGCCAAATCTACAGGAAGTAATCTTGGCAATGCTGGTAGCCTCTAGGGGTATGGTGTAGCATTGTACTAATACTGCATCATAGTCCACGAGGCAAGTCTTCTTCACAATCTGGCCAATCCTCGTTGTAGACTGAAATGCGGATATAAGTGTGACAAGACGGGAACGATCGGGGCTCCGGGAGGAAACTTTGCGTACTTGTTGGAAGAATTGCTGGAAAAGGAGTGTTGTCAGAGTAAGGGAGTGCAGAGGGGATCATGAAAAATCGATCCCATTTGGCTGGGCTAAATTCAGGAGGTTTGTAGAGGTGGGGGTAGTAGGACGGGGGCCTGTGGAAGAGGGAGTCGTGTTGTGAGGTGTACAATAAGACTGCTGAGTAGTGTTAAGGGAGGAGGGGGTAGTAGATGAAGAAAGCTTTGTGGTGGAGAAGAAGTAAAGGATTCTGGGAGAGGAGGAATGTTTTCTGGAGGTTGAGTTATAACCTGGGTTTGGCCTGAGGACGGTTAATGGTCAAGGCAAATAAATGTGCTAGAAATCAAAGGTCATATAGCACTATGGAAAAATATTGTGGCGAAAAGGGTAAAAATGAGTTAGTGATCAAGAAGAGAAGGAAAAGGAAAATAGGAAAAGAAAAGACCACGCAAAAACAGTTAAGGCGAGGGATGAAGTCCAAGGTAGGGGTGATCCCCTGCATTAGGCCTCAGTCTCCGTCTCCTAAGCCCCCCCCGACAACAACGAGTAAGATATTGTGAAGAGAGGTATTGAAAATGGGGTAGTGTTCATAGTCATGGTCAGAGGAGAGCCTGTTCTTGACTGGCACAAAGTCAGCCCCTCATCCTTTCAACACGGCTCTTGCGCTTTAGGAAATGGATAGTAGATGGGGTTGGAGAAGAGAAGGAAACGAAAAGGAAAAAGATCGAGCAAAATTTGTTGTTGAGTCCAGGGCTGAGGTCTACAGCTGTGGTGCTCCCCAGCATTGGTCCAAGTCTCCGTCTCCTAAGTCCCCCACGGCAACAACGGGCCATGATTTAATGCTGAAAACAAATGAATGGGCAAAATATCAAAGGTTGCACAACATTATGGGAAAGTGTGGTAGCGAAAAGGATAAAGGGGCAAATGGGGAAGGCAGGGATTAATAAAAGTGGGAGGCAGTTAAGGGAGCTCAGACCAAATGGAGGTTATCTATGCCCCTGATGAAGGAGTTGAAGTAACACATGACAAAAATTTTCTTATTTCCTTTTCTTTTCCAACAAAAGGGAATCCTATCCAACCTCACCTGCAAGTACTTGTTGTACTACGATACCTAGCAAGTGGTAACCCCCAGTTAACAATTGCTGACTGTGCTGATGTGTACCAGAACGGTCAGTACCTGAGTTGTATGGGTAGTAAGAGCAATAGCTGGTTTATGGGTGGAGTGGATCACGATGCCATCTGGGAATGAAATGAATGTAGCGATCCAAGCCTTCCATGTTATAGCAGGTATGCTAGTTATTATAGGCTGCATTGACTGTATATACATTACCATAGGGAGACCTCCTGGAAATCATTCTGAATTAGGTAGAAACAGAAAAGGTTTAGGCAGTCTGTGGTTCCTTGACCACAGTTCTACAACATCCTTTCACGATGGTTTGGGAGATCTCATGGCAGCCCTATCTTTGAACACAG